GCTGCAATGAGTCTCACCTTCCTTGTGGTCCCTCCATGGATTTCCTTTTCCTTTTTGGGTCCCTATTAAGATCCAGTCTGTTACATGCTGAAATCAGCAAATGTTATTGTAACAGTTACAGTTCTCCAGGTCCGATGAGTTTCATCTGAGCTCTCTGGCTGCCAGCTCCATCCAGAGGATTGCAGGTACCACCTGCTACCATCTGCAGGTATATTAGCTGCTTTCCTCTCTCCCCTGTCTTCCCTAGTTTGATATAACTGTACTCCCAGCAGTCTTGCATTTACAATGGCATAAAAGAAAACAGCATCAGATTTTTCTATTTTAAAGGTAAATTCCCCAGTATTCTTTCTGGGGGAAAGCTGGATTCTAAAATGGAAAATAAGCATTGTTTGCTTCAGTGGTATCTGATTAAGTTGTTAAATGAATTCAGATCACTAGGAAAGGGAAAAAATGATGCATACCATGAAGCCTGCTGGTGTTCCAGAAGCTAATGTTGCAAGACTGGAGAGGGCCACGGAGGGAATGCAAAGGAGTATCCCCCTAATATCTTGCTGATGCTGAGGCCCACAGCTCTGTTCTGCAGGGGATAGCAAAATGAGAGGAGAGGCGAGTTGTACTAAATGCCTTCTGAAGTCTCAGGAGCGCAGTTCTGCAGGCTGAGGTATGTGTAATAACTTTGTGTCACAGCATAATGCTACTCTGAAGGTGACTTTGTAAAACTTGTGCTCACCTTCAGGAACTTCCTCTGGTGAATAGATATGTTTATTTCTACTGGTGTTATCAGTCCTTTGTGAGGGGGAAAGTAAGATGGACTCTATTCTGGTTTGAATACTGCCCAAAAAAATTGCTTGCTAAACTTTTTTTGTAGCATTGCGATAGCTGGTAGCATGTGACTAGAGGAATAGCAGATCATCTTTTAATTCCAGGCCAGGCAAGTGGCAAGTGCAATTTTTGTGGAAATTGCTATGAGGTGAATGATCCTGGAACCCTCTGACATCCCTAGTGACATCCCTCCTTAGAGCAGAGAGTTTCTGCTGCCTTAATTCTTGAAAGAATTTCACAAACGTGCTTTCTTTTGACCAACTGAATAGTTCCTTTGGCTTTGGTGAGACTTGTCATAAGCTGAACTGTCTTCCTGAATTTCTTTAAATGTAGAATTAATTTTGCAGCACTTGACCATACTTAGATGAAGTGGAATGCCCTCAAGTGGCTAATCGGGCGTGGCATGCAAGTTTTTCCATAGAAAGCATTTTGAATTCTATTAGAATAAATGTCTTCAGATGGGTAATTCAAAATATGGCAGATTTTGTTAGAGCATCTCTGCATTTCAGACTATGTGAAGGAAAAGACAGTGTGATTTAGGGGGCCTTTAAAACCCATTTTGTGGTTTGCACGGTGGCATGTTTCCCAAAGCTAGAGAACATATCACTTGTGATGAGTGAGGAGCAGGAAACGAGCACAGAACCTGGGAACTTGTGGCTGAAAGACCTTGATGAACCTACATCTTTGGATCTACCTTCTTATGAAACACCTTTTGTGAAGATTTATAAAAAAAGGATGAGATCCAATTTTAGTTCTATGATTAAAAGAGCTTTAGGTCAATATGTTTTTCTGGAGCCAGACTTTACAAGTTGTCCAGCTGTGCTGTCTGAAAGTTTGAGACTATCTAAACTCACGATCTAAGTGCAATTTTAAATCTCTTTCAGATCTGTGAATAGCTAGAATTTAACACCTGCGTTTGTTTACTTTATTGTGTAGATAAAGTAAACTCATGTGAACTTGCTGTGAAATAACTGATTGTGAAAAATTGGTTGTAGCTTGCACCTAATAATTTCAAGTGCTTTTGAGTGTTAAGCAAGTGTATATCCTGTTTCAAAATCAAGTCATATTTACTATAGTAGTTTTCTGAACTGGACCCTTAAATTCCCAGAGCAAGCCTTTAAAACAGCTGGAGGAAAGTGTGGGGTGGGGTGTGTGTGTGGTGGTTTGTTTTTTTTTTGGCCTTCCCTCTAAAAGCTCAGTGCCTAAAATTGGAAGACAAATGTTCAGAATAGCTGGTGTTTAAAAGGAAAGCACTGGGTAGAGTGGGTGCTGAGCTTTGAAGGAAGTATGTCCCTTGCTGAGGGGTACTGGAAGAACAACTGCAGCATCTTTGAGAAGATTCTGAGTGCTGGGATTCCCTGGAAATGCTGACTTAGGTGCTTTTATTCTTAGCATCATAAATTCCAACTTCTGTCCTGATATCCCTCCAAACACAGACTTAACTTCCCTTGAATGAAGATGATGTCACTTCTGACCACTTCTCCTCTCTGAACTCCCCAGAAATACACTGCTGTGTGCATAGCCAGTTATGCGTTTTTTGCTGGTGGGTTGAGGGGGTGGAGGGAGGTGAACAAGAACTTTAGGAGCAAGGTGAGCTGTTTTTAAACCAACCCAGTCAGTACAGAAATACTTTTTGGAGCAGTTTGTGACAGTGCTGAGAAAAGCCTTGTGAGAAAATGACACTGTACTTAAACATGTTCATAGTCTGGGTCTAAGTTTGGAAGGCTTGTAATAAATAACTATTCTTACCCCTGTCCTACTATCACGAAAGCATTAAACAGGAGAGATTTGTCTGGAGACTGCACTAACCCTGGCCATTACTAGTTTTGTGGAGTGCAGGAGGGGCATTGCTGTCTCAACTCTTCAGCATTTGTTTTGTAGATTGTACAAGAGCTTGAGGCAAAGTTACTGGTTCTGAAGGAAAGCTGGAGCACTTTTATAGAGACAAAAATCTAATGCTAGATCTAAAAAACCTAGATGAACACCCGTGTCTCCCCTCTGACATTTCCTTAGTGGACATGCTCTGTAATAGTTCGTGCTATGTGTGCAAAGTTATTTGCATTTGCCATATCCTGCGCTAGGCAGTGGTACAAATGTGATGGGAACTCTTTACTGAGAAGGAGCTAGATTGCATGAAAACATGGGCAAAACCTATAATTTATTCACTTCTATATACTATTTAGCTTCTGAGAACAAGTGCTTCCTTTCTCGTGTTTGTTTTGCGTGCAGGTTTTTGTAAACTCACCTTGACCTCCTTCCCCTCCCCCCAACTAAAAAATGCAGTACTAGCACAATAAAACATATCAAAAAAACTAAATGCAAATGTTAAAAACTTGCATTGGAAGTTGGTGTTTGTCAGTAATTTTTAAGTGTTTTTGAAACCTCCTAAATAAAAATGATTTTGATTTCTGTTGTGACCGTGGCTTTTCACTTTCCATCAAAAGCTGATCTTTTAAGATGGAGAATTTTTATTTGCACAGCCATTTAAAGCTGTCACAAGAGGAAATTTTCTTCCTGAATCCTGTTGTTTTCCAGTGATGTTGTAATTTCCTAGAATTGTGTATACAAGCACTTTGGAGAGCTGGTCTGTGCTGAGGCCCAGTTCTTGTTTTTAAGCTGTTCACATTCCTGAGGACTTGATGGGTTTTCCCAAGGCAATGACTGACTCTTCTGATGAGCTACTGCAGATAACACTTCTTATCCAGTAAGCTGGAAGTAGATAACAGTTGTGAGCCAAGCTCTTTGGCAGAACAGCAGTCTGCAAATGCCTTGGTGAAGAACTGATATGTGAAAGAGATTGTGTGTGAAGATTCAAAAGGAGTAAATTCAAATGATTTTCTTTTCTCCAAAATCAGGTACCAAGAGGGTCTCTTTGATTGCAGTTTCAACATAAAGAACGGACAACAGCAGACTTTTTGCTATAGACTGAAAGGCCTTTGTTTGCTCCATTTAAAAGCCAGGTTGCCAACTGCAGTAACTTCTTTTATGAAGGAAATGGGAGACTTGTGGCAGAGCTCATATTCTTTACTGGTGCATCCATCAGTAGCGGAAAGAATTGATTCTTATTCATTATATGTAAACCATTGTTGGGTATGTGTAACAGCATTTTTAGTTCATCAAATGAGGAACACTTTGTCTGCATTTAGTAGTCTTCATAAGGCTTTGAGCAGAAGTTTTAACTGAACAGAAGAAAATCATTAGGCAGGTGATTACAACACATGCTCAGTTTTATTTCTGTATCCTGGAATGCTGTCAGCTTCCTTGGTCCTTGACCCATCTATTTAAGATGGGCCCCCATGGGTTGCTTGACCCATCTTTTTTTGTTTCCATATACATAAAAAGCAATCAAATATGTCTTGTGTTGCTTATTCAGCCTCTCTCTCAACAGAAGGGTGCTGTCTCTTTCTGTCTGTCTTGTTGGTGTCTACTCAGATGGTAGGTAGGCTTTAGTGAGAATTTTGCCTAGGCTTCGTGAAGAAGGAATCTAGAAAAGGAGTTAAGGGACCCAGGTTCCCATCCCAATTCTGATGCCAGCTATGGGCTGGTGCCGTTGGATTTTAATTTTTGGAGTGGTGAAATGATGGCAAAGGTATTTACCCCCCTTGGTAGAAATGCCACGAGTGCTGTAGGAGGCCTTTATCTATATGCACAAACTAAATAAAAGGCCCCTGCATCCATCTATCCTTACGTTTGTGTATTTGGGGCTCTTTTTGTACTTTGATCTGAAAAAATCACTTTGTACTTACAACTTTCCTTGGACAAGTGGAGTGTGGGAGGGAATAGGAGGAAGGAGACATTCTTAGCAACACTGCCAATTCACTATTTAGAATACAAATCTATTTTGTGTTATTAGATAAGTTATGCTACTTCTTGGTTGTTTAGAGATTCAGTGGATAATGCTACAGAGAAATTCCTTGATATATAGTTTCATTGCCTATGATTCCTATCTTGAAATTAAAAGGAAAATCTAGCATCTGGAATAACCTATTTGAAGAGATTTGAGCAATTTTTCCAATATCTCTGTTATATGCTGAGCTGTTCCCACTGAAGCCAGTGGGAGTTTAAGAAACCAGCATAGTGGCCCGTTGCCAAATACCTATTGCGGTATGCTAGAAAAAAGTAAAGAGTATGGTCTTCATGGAAAGAATGCCCATTTCACATTGTGTGTTTTTCCTTAGCAGGTGAAGAGTCTGCATTTTGCTCATCTGGCTTTCTACAGGAAAAACAACGTGAGTCAAGGTTCTTTCCATTTTTCTTTGTACCCTATGCTGCTCAACAAGTTAGAGATAATAACAGAAGAGAAATGTTAACCACAGAAGTCTGTTATTTATGCTGTGTTGAAATGTTACCTTGAGAAGATAGGATGGGTGGAGGAAAAGCAGGATTCTTTTGTTTAATCTTGATGAGGATTATTAAAATGTACCGAGCAAGTTCCTGCAATATTTTATTTAATGCATTAATATCTTACAGTATTGGCTAGAGTGGCAGAGGTGAGGTGTTGGAAGGTGAAGCTGCTGGTATACGTGATGGGCTCAGTGATACGTGTCATTATTTTCTTCTAAACAGGGCAGCTTATGAGAAACTGGATCTTCAGTATACTAAAATATTCTTTGTCATTGGTTAATAGAAAGCGTATGTTACAGCCTTCATGCAAACATATTTCTCATGACAGATTTGTTATTATAAACAGCTAGCAATAGCACAGCAGATGGCCAGGAACTGCATGATTTCTTATGGGAGTGTGATAATAGAAATGAGTTTTCTTTGAGAACTATGACCATCTTATGTTTTTTATTTAGATAGAATTCTTTTGTTTCTACTCCTATTTCCTTCCCAATTAATGTGGCAAAATACTAAGGGTGCTTAAACTAGTCTGGAAAAAAGTGAAGACTTGGCTTGATCCTTAGTACAGATTTAAATTGTACCTCATGTTCTCAGAAGTTAAGAGTTCTCTAACTACTTCCTCTGTCCCAGATTTAGGGGTGCTAGTTTACTACTTCTATTGCCAGGGATTGCACTGGTGCCTTTCTTGGCTGATTTGGGGTGTGGAATCACTTTCTGAATTCCTCCTTTCACCTAGCTATCCTTTCGTGCTGCTCTCTGATCTTCAGATCTGATGTGCTCCATCTGCAGAGACTGTCTGGCAATGAGTTACTTCAGACAAGGATGTAGACACACAGCTTGCTTGGATGTCTTGTAAGCTAATGGTGAATATATCTGCAACATATTCTATATATGACAATTTCAGTGGGCATTTGAATCCAGTACGGTCCCTGCCAGAGATGTTGGCTCATTAGCGTCTGCTGTAGCAGCTTGTACTTCTGGCACAGAAATACCTGGAAAATCTTTTCCCAAGTGATTAAATCAGTTAACTGAGATGGTAGCCACTTTTCCTGGTTTTTGACTGTTAGACTGAAAAGTAGTGTAATTTCTGTAACATGGTTGCATTGAGCTTAGGACCGTGACCTCACTTCCTTGTAATCGATTATCTGATCGGCAACAGATAAGTGTAAACTTTTTTTTTAAATCCAACTTCCTTTACTTTAATTTGTTTTGAGACTGCACATTGCTAAGATCCAATGAACTGCTTGGGATAGTTCTCAGTGAGCTTGGTCCAGTGTGGTCTACATCCAGTAGCTGTCCTGTGAAAAGATGCTTAGTATTTCCTGATGATTTTTATAATGAGGCCTTATGTTTTAAATGGAATTTAATGATCACAGAGATTAAACTTTTACATTTCATACTGTTAACACAGCTGTTTAATAATGAGGATGCTGTTTCAACATGATAGTTAAGGGCCTACTTTAATTTCAACCAAGTAAAATTATTCACAGTACTTAATTAAAACAGGTGACTAAAATTTAAGGTTACCAGGTATTCCAGGTTGGCCAGGTTAGTCCCTGATGTGTTTTAGCATTTCAGTGAAATGCTTCAGGATGGTATCTTGTCCCAGATTTCCATCCAGATGTGAGATTTTCTCTGCCTCCAACTTTCAGACTGTGATTGAGGCAGTTTATTCTTTTTCCAAGGCTTCAGCATTTCTCTAGGGAGAGAGAACAGGAGACGTATATCCTTTTCACTTGACTTGTTGCAGTAGGAATATCCTCAGTGTTTCTTTAAAAAAAAACAACAAAAATCTGGTCATCTATGGAGATGTCTCTTTCTGAATTTGGTGTTTAGTCAACAGTCATGTAATTTCAGCTGCTGTAAAGTCAGGGTACAGAAGAGGGAGAAGCTCCCCTAAAGCTTGTGGTATGACTCGGATGGGATGCTAATACTTGCAAGTGCTTGGACTGTGTGCTATTAAACCTGTTCCTAGAGTAAGTACAGTATTGTTAACTGTAAAATAAAAATAGCTCAGCTGGTCTGAACTGGCATAACTCTTTGCTTTCAGCTGGAGAACTAGGATGCTGAACGTAGGTTGAGGATCTGGTCCAGAGCTTTTTCTTTCTATTATTAGATTGTGGAGCTGTGTAATGTTAGTTATTAGAATCCCAATTGGCCAAGTTGGAGGCTTGAGTGCTTCTTTTAGAGCTTTTACATATTTTTTTAATTGTGGTGTGCAGCTGTCTGTTTTTAATGTAGTCCCTGTGAATCCCAAGGAAATTTGAGATCTGTTTATAAACAGTACAACAGGTTTATTACTGCTTTCACAACAATTATCTGCCTCTCCTGTCCCGTTAGCAGTTATTTTAAACATTTCAAGCATATGGTGACTTGAGCTTATGCGGATGCCACTGAGTTTGCTTTCTGCATATGTGTTTGTTCTTATGTGTTTTCATCTGTGATTGCCATCTAAGGCTGTATGCCTCTCCGGCTGATAAGCTGTAATAGTCTTTACACATTTAATGCCAGTCCCTAGATAGGACTGGCATTTACCTAGCACTTGAAAGTATTCTAACAATTACTTCTGGAGTTTTCTTGGAAAGTCACCATGTACTACTGGTTTTGCCCTTCCCACTATTACTAAGGGATATGTTTGAAGGGGGGAGGTACCAACATGTAATTGGTATCCATAAAAGAGATGCTGACAATGTGCTTGCATCATTAACTGACTCACTCCAGAAACTGCAGTATGTAGAAATACTGTGAGAGAGAGAGAGAAATACAGTATTCAGTCAACTTTCTTTAAATATGCTGTACCTAACATAATAAATTTTGACTTGTATGTTCATTCAATAAAAAGGGATGCCAGGCCCTGACTTGAAATGCTCTGCGCTACAGTGTGAAAGCGTAAGTGGAATAACCCCTGTAACAAAACATTAGCAAGCATTATGAGTCACATTCAAGTAGGCTGAAATCCTGTTCCTACACAACTGATAGAGTGAGGATTTCTAGAGGACAATTCAGAGGCTTTAATGAGCAAGGAGCCACTGAGATGCAACCTGGAAGTGCTTGGTTCAAACTACAAGGTAGAACTTAGGCTATCTGAATTAGACCAATATTAACTCAGCTAAAAGCTTGCATGGAGTGTCTTGGTCTTTCAAATTTTTTGGAGAAAAAGTGAAATGATGCTTGTCATACTGGTGGTGTCAAGGAAGAAGTGTTCAGTGAAGTTTGAGGAATTGTTGCCTGTTGTGCAGCTCTTTAAAGGAGAGCACCAGTAAGTTCCTGTTTTGCACTTTGACTCCTAGAGTTGAAAATACAGATATGCTTGATGAAAATGAAATGAAAATTTCGATTTCATGTACATTTTTATTGACATGGCGGCTTTATCTCTTTCTCTCCATTATCATTATACAGGAGCTGTTTGCATGGAACTGGCAGTGATTTCAGTAAGGGTTTTTTCAGATTGTTGCAGTGCGGTAGTACAAAGAGCTGGGATCTGTGTAATTCATTCTTGGCTTCTGTGCTTATTATGTCTTGTCTTCCCTGTCCAAACTGGGTTGTTGCAGCAAATGAGTTTGTTTCAAATTAATTGTTGGGAGGTAGAGAACAAATATCTAATTGATCAATAACTGATTGACTGAAACTTGCCCAAAACATTTCCTTCTAGCTTTGCAGAACACTTATGAGAACATATGCTTCCCCCTTTCCCCCCCCCCCCCCAGCCCCACAATAGGTCATTATGACAGGTTTTTATTTGCGCTGCCTCCCTGGGTGGTCTTGTTACAATATATAAAGATGCTGATTGACTAGCAGGACATCTTGTGTCATTTTCCTTGAGTAGGTGGATGGGTGGAGGTGATTTAAAAAAAAAATAAAAAAAAAATCAAGTCCACCATCCAATTATCCAGATCAAAAAGGGAGTCTCTTTTGTCTGAAAGGTGTTCTTGCTAGGATTAGCCTAGGAGAGATTCCCCATCTCTTTTTTAAAATGTAGATACCACATCTTTGTAAGCCAGCTGTGGCTCATCAGCTATGGCCCAAATGACTAGTAATACCCATGTAGCTGTTGACTTCAGTGTCTTTAGCAGCAAAATATGGTTATTGCTGTGCTTCAAAGGTTTCTGAGCGTTATTTCACGCTACAGTTATGATAGGCCAGGTGATAAAATCTCACTTGATGCAATAAGCAGCCACTAAAAATAAATGTTTAGGGAAGACAGATTTGCATGTTAGACAACTAAGTGTCTTAGCTCATGCTAAACCAGTGTATTCTGCTATTGTCTAGCAGGACGGCCCGGATGCTTATATTCCTATGCAGTTTTGCTGTCCTTTCATCAGAACTGCACTCTTTCACAGTAAAATACTCTAAACCCAGTAGACTCTCTGGCTCTTCAGTGCCTTCCTGACACAAGACATTATCAAAGGGGACTTAGTGGCTTTTGAAAGTCTCCCTGCTGGACCGAAATGCGCCCCCCCTCTCTGCCGTTCTGTCGGGACATACAATCAGAAGCCGCAGCCTTGCTCAGTGTAATATATTGATTACAGCCACCACCGTTTTACGTTCTGGTTTCAACACTGTTTGCAAATACTGTTTGCACAGCTGTCAGAACTCAGGATGTCCAGACAAACCCATTAATGTCTGATGGCCTTTCCCATCACAGAGAGAGTGCCCACACTACAAACAGTGCTGCCCCCTTTTTCCTTAGGCATTTTCAGTTTGGTCATTTGGTGAAAGGCAAAGAATAGCTAAATAAAATGAGGGTATTTCTAACGTGAATGATTTTGTATGGTTTCTTTGAGGATGTTACTCCGAGGATAATGTTGAATATCTAAAATCTGTATAGAAGAGAGTGAGCTATTACATATGAGAGAGAAACCTGTGGATGTGTGACAGGCACACG